GTCTGCATTCCTTGCCAACCAGGTACATCACCCCATATGTTCACATTTTTTCATACACGTGACCTTTTCAGATAAAATTAGGATACGAATTAGAACGAATGATCAAATCGGAGATGAGCAAACTTGGTCTTGACAGTCTGGGTCTCATTGCTCCTCCCTCGGCCTTGGACACAAGTTTTTCTAAACGATCTGTACATGTATGATACTTGTTGGTAAATTTTGTAAATATGATACTTTATAATGTCTGTATTATCAAAGAGTACTTGTAGAGAGAACGTTTAATCAACACAATCATGAATACAAACTTATTAATGCGAAGAGAAGTACGAATATTAGAAAGTAGAAAGTATGAAGGAGGTGCAGGATTTACAAAACAGTTCGTATCACATTTTGAACAAATCACAATTAGTTGAATGATGAAGACTACCGAAGAAGGCAAAATAACTAATGCCGTGAAAGCAAGCGAAATCAGTGGAGATCATTTGATCCACCTTTGGAAAAAAACACGCCTTATGAGGACATTTGATAAGCTCATCCTGACTTAAGCAACTGGAACATACTTAACCTCTCTAGAGTATGCTTTCTCTTTCATTTTCATGTAGAACCAATAGAGAGCGATAGTTAAACAGCATACAGAACCGATCATCAGCTGAAACTCGAAAATGTCGATTAGACTTCGTCGGTTATCTCACCAATACAGTAATTCCTAGTTCCTCTATTCGTTTCCGGCTAACGGCTAACTCAGCATCTGAATTTCAAGCTTATTTGATAACTGAAAAACAATGCTAATACCTCTGATGGCAATCGTACAAATCCTAGCAGTAGTAGACTGACATGAAGTCGAGTTGTCAATTCTGGAATGATTTGCTTTTATCTACTCCCATTCTTTATGCTTACTGATGTGCATCAACCAGACAATTACAAAGCTGTTCAGCACAATATATAGGCCCATACGAACATTCATCAATTTGAAGGGAGCAAGATGATATTGTTGCTGAAAACGTGTGAAGTGCATTTGCTTTCGCGAAAGAAAAAAAAACAAAATAAAAGACTCACAATTGACTTCCGGACAGCTACTGTACAAGTCTGAGTATTCGCGGGAAAGTTCAGGCGATTTTGGTATGTATTTAGTCATGTCTTCTGGCTCTTAAAAACGAGTTGATTAATTCAATTTTCTCAAATTCGATAAAGCGAAAGGAAGGAAGAAAATGAAAAACCTGTGTAATTGACACTGGCCTCATAGGCTGGCATTCCAAAGAAGGGCATGAGAATGCATACCATGCTGACATGGTTTTCACACCTATCGCCACCAGTTCTGTTAAGAGCAATCTGAAAGAAAAAAGAAAATTACAAGTGAAAAATAGGGATATTACCTTGTTACATTTGCAGAAATCTTCAT